GTTTAAAATAATTGAGACAAGCTTAAACATTGAAACCAAACCGCAACAAACAGACTTAGTTTTATCTCAAGAGAACATGATACAAGAACGTGTTACCAGACGCCTCGCTCGAAGAGCTTTGCAGAAGTTGCTAACTTATCTGTTTAATGTGAGAAAGGCAACAGTTGCAATGCAACCTTGATTTTTCTGTGAATTTTTCTGGAACAACTTCAAACCGAATTCATAGAGAACGTTTTCATAATCAATGTAAAAACGTGCCACCTTGGTTTTTGAAAGCTGAATTCATTCTTTTGATGCGTAAGTTGGGTCGAAAACGGCACCTGTGTATTCTACCAGTTGATATGAAAACTGTCGCTATCTCAAAAAAAAACGTAATCCATCAAGAAAGAGCTGATTCCATAAACACATTCGAGTTAATGGGAGTGGGGTGGATTAGGGTTACTGAATTGTCTTATTTGGGGCAGTGTTGGATGAAAAGTGTTGATTACCATTGCCTGCGATGTTAAGAAACAACAGCTCTCCCTGGTAGCGATCGACAGCGCTTCTGAGTCTGTGCAGCTTCCTCTGGTCGTGGAGGATGTGTCCCTGAAGTCCACAGACAGAAATGTCGGCCAGAGTAGGTGCTTCATAATAGCACAGAGACCGTTCTCTTCTTCTTCTTCTTCCATCTCCACACACATCTCTGTTCAGTGCTGTCCTCAGAAAGTGGTGGCCAGTGCCTTCCAGACCAGCCGTGAACACAACTGTGGGCTTGGAACTGTTGAACACTGTTTTGCGCACAAAGTTGCAATTGGTCCTCGCCTCCTCCCCCTCCCCCTTGAAACTGCCCACCCTCACGTGTTTGGTGAAGTCGCGCCTGTTCTTGAACATGGCTAGCTTCAGTGAACTGTAGTTCCCCAGCAAGTGCCGTCGCCAGTTGTGCAGCCGCATTGTACTGTCCAGAAAACTGTGGTTCAAACATCCAATGGATCAAACTTGGGGCAAGCAGAAATTGGCCTTCTTTTTATAGTTTATGGCTGGATACTGACTAAAACCACTTTAAAAAATTACATGTTGTTCTTAAGCAGAAGCAGTACAGTGGTTCGCCGTGATGAAATGCTGTACAGCTCGTATGTTGGTCCTTTTCCTCGTGGTTAAATGGTCCTAACCTAATGATCAAAATCACATCTGCAGTGAGTTTTGTTTTAAGATCTTCAACTTTTTCGCATTACCAAAAAATGGCTTTATTTTATGCTTTTTTCGTTTTTTTTTCTTCATTTTTATTGACTCACTTAAAGTGAATCGGGTTGACGTCGCGGAGATAGTCATCCCTGATTTGAAACTCTATCATGAATCAGTGCTGCAAACGTATTGACCATGGATATTGGCCGTGGTCAGGGCTCCAAACAGCGATAATTATATCTGCCAAGTCAACCCGATGATGTATTACAATTAGCAAGGTTATAGATAACATGAGAAAGTTTTGGCATCAAAACCATCCAATCACTCCTCAAATCGGTGCACAAAAACTAGCTCGTACTATAGCAAATAAAATCTGTTATAACAAAAAATGATAAAATCAATTGCAAATAACAAAACATTTACCCATCATGTATTCGCTTCAAGAAAATTCAGAAAATACCTTCGTCAGCCTCTTTTTTGATCTTTGTTGAATTTACTGGACGAGGTCAATCTGTGCTTTTTGGGAATGTAAGCGGATTGAACTGTTTGCTCATTGCTCCTTTGCCGGGAATTGGATATTTTGTGAAGGATATTTTGAGACAGAGTAATGTTAATTTAAGTGAGCTATCGTAAATTGTTTACCATTGGTCTTTGTTTTGTGAGCAATCAATGGTGGTCATAAAACTGATTGGAGCAGATTTTGAGAAGTGTTGTTCCACAACTGAATAGATATCTGGGGTGTAGTCCACCAACAACATCGCTATTATGACACGAGTGATGAATATCAGAAGACTGCCTCGACCAGGAAGCTTCCTCATTTCTTTAGTTCCAATCAAAGTCAATGAGTCTAAGTTGATATCCAAGAGTGAAAGTTACAGAAGTCACGAACAAGAACAGCAATAAGTATTCAAGAAATGAGACTATATGAACAAGATCCAAAGTTCGAAGTAACTTGACAACTAAACGGAAAAGCACCGATAAGTGTTTGCTAAGTGTCTATTAGAGCCAGTCTAAACAGGAAATATTTATGATGTGCATTCCCGTACCAAACAAACTCTTTATTTCCAGTTTAGAATAGAAGCTGATGAAATCAACCAATTTGAAAGCTGATTTGGATACATATTATTAAAAGTGAGATTATCACCAACCAACCATGTCAATTCCTCTTAATTATCATTTTATCTACTGTTTTTTTTTAAAACCCATTTACTCATATAAAAACTTTTCACATGTTTGTTGTCACAACAAAGCGCTTTTGTCTTAGTGAGTTTCAAAGTGGAAAAGGTCGAGTTTCACTTTTTTCTTTTTTATTTTGTTCAATGATTTTAAAATGTGTCTATCTTATTTGAGTATATGGATTTTTGAAGCGCTGCCATCAATTTTGCTGTACAAAAACAAAAAGTTAGCGTCAGCAATAGATGTTGGAGCTGATCAGGGGGGAGGGTACCAATTCAAGTGTTGTATATGTCCCAATTCAAGTGTGGCATATGGTCGAGATCATGCAACAAGTTTCCTCCAACGAGGATCAGCTTGGAACGATGGGAATGATGTCGCAGATTGCAGAACACGTTGGGATGGACTACTCCATGTTTCCATTCTCCAGATATGTGGCTCATTCTGTGAACGATTTCTTCTTCCGAGAATCTTCGTGATGGGTAGCAGGTTGTATGCTGCAAGAGCTGTGTTGTGGTATAGTTTTTCAATGGCCAATACAATTCATAGTCGGCGGGCGGGGTGGTTGTGTGTCTCTTAGGGCGGTTGATCTGCTTCTGGGGCAGGATACTTAAGAAGATGCTCAGTGTTTAGCCCATTCCTCTCAGGTCCTTTGTCTGAAATCGTGAGCACTTCTTCTATTTTCAGTGTTTAAACAAGCATAGCTTGTGTTATAGTATGAACGTTTTTTCCAACCTAATTCGCAAATACTGTTGCGATGGAATTGTTGCGACAAATGAGTTCATTTTCATCCAGCTATAACGTACAGCCAATGCTATGGATATTATATTACAATTAGAACTTTAGCTTCAAGGTATCATGATTCTGTAGCGTAGAGGTAGGGAAGTAGATCAGTAGTAAAATAAGAGGGTTCCAACCTGGGAAGGGTCGGATTTTTTAATGAACTATTTCGTATACTAGTTAAAATGCGTCAGCTTTGTAAATTGAGGCATGTTAGTTGGTAAATTTATTTTCAAATTGACTGGTTTTGCTAATTCGTCATAATTGGCTTGCGTCACTTAGCATTTATGTAGACTCATAATTGACGGGCGTCTTTTATGAAGTTTTGTAGACTCAAAGAGTTTTACTCATTCAGTTTTTCCCAGGAGCGTTATTGGTCATTTTTTTTGCTTTTGCATGCAAAGTGCAAATTGGCCTCTGTTAAGAAGCAGGTTCTTAACTTCCTTTTTGCTTCTTCTTTTACTATAATTTCGTGTGTTCCATTTTTTTTCTTTTCCTAGAGTTTGCTTAACTCAGCAAAAAGTAATCCTGAATAAATTTCTTAAATTTTTAAAGAATAGCAGTTAAAACGTTCCTATAATCGTCACCGTCCTCCCACCCTAAAAAAACTCACGCCAAGATGCCTAATGCTGTGTTCGAATGCTAGAATGGTCGAAAATTACCCAAACAATTATGAACTCAGTTTGTTGGAAGTCATGAAACACGAAAATTAACCAAATAATTATGAACTCATTTTGTTGGAAGTCATGAAGCCTTGTCATAGATGTGTATATGGACACTTATGTGAGCCACACAACCGTGTTTGCTTTATGCTGGAAGATAATCGGGTCATAAGTAAGGGTAACCAGATTCTACAAAAAAAAATGTCGCTTGCTGTGATCATCTTCGCGCTTTTTCACGGTTGTATGTATACACTCATTTAAATCATACAGTGTTGTCTCTCTTACAAAAATACAAGTTGATGATCTCAGCTTTTTCATTGTTAAAACAAGATAAGAAAAAGGTGGTCAGGAAAAAATATGATTTTTTTGTTCGTAATCATAAAGCTTTGTCATGGATGTGTATAAGGACACTCATGTGAGCCACACAACTGTGTTTGCTTGATGGTGGAAGGCAACCGTTCGAAAAAAGGATAACCAAGTTCTCTTTTGAAAAATTGTGCGAGGCTTTGTGATCTTCCATTTTTGAGCCTTGTTATGGATAAGTATATATACTTTCATTCGAGTCACCTAGTCGTTTTTCCGTTACATTAAGACTAGGTGATGATCTCAACTAGGTCATTAATAAAAAAGGTATTAGAAGGTTAGGAAAAAAATGTGGACTGATCTTGTTAGAGGTCATGAAGCTTTGGCATGGATTTGCATATGGACTTTTATATGAGCCACACAGCCGTGTCTGCTTTATGATTGCAGATAACCGGGTCATAAGAAAGGGTAACCAGCTTTTACAAAAGTTTTGTCGTTTGATGTGATCATCTTCAAGCCTTTTCATGGTTGTGTATTGATACACTCGTTTAAATCATAGTCTTGTCTCTCTTACAAAAAGACAAGTTTATGATCTTAACTTTGTCATTGATAAAACAAGATAAGTAAAAGGTGGTTACGAAATGTGAATAACATAGATGGAAATCATAAAACTTTGTGATGGATGTGTATATGGACACTTATGAGAGCCACACAACCGTGTTTGCTTGATGTTGGATGTTAATCGGGCCATAAAAGGATAATCAATTATATTTACAAAGTTTTGGCGAGGCTCCCCTGTCTTACTACTACGGACTAAATGCACCTATGATACAAAAGTGGTTACTAAATTTGATCTGAAGCTTCTAATCATGGTTTCTAAATTGTTTGTTAGTTCCATTGACTTTAGTGTCCTAATTGCAGGAAGACGAAGTTGGCCTCTAGTGGTGCGGGGGCGAGTAGTGCCTCAGTGGACCTGCTGTTCATCAAGATGACCAAGAGGTGGTTCCCCTCCGGCACCTCTTCCTCCTCCTCGTCCAACCCTGGACTGAACTTCGACTCATTCGTGGACACATTTCTGGAACTGGCCAGCAGGCAAGTAGAGTAACGAATAATAGAGGCAAACATATTTATCTTTATCTCATCTGAAAGAGTACATAATCTGTCCAAGTAAAATAATCTATATGGGTTATACAGTGCTGATTTAAATTAACCGGACAAAACGAACAAAACTTGAGTTTTCAAACACGTTTTTCTCAAATTGGGTTTAGATTAGACAAAAAGTGAAGAGAACAAAAGTTGCTTAGAATTTCGTTAGAATTAATATGCTGCAGTTTTTTCTCCGAAATTCTCAACCAAAATTTTACCCCAAAAATGGGTCATTTTGGCTTTTTTCAATTAATCAAAAATTACGCTGAAACTATTTTGTTAATTGATAAGACAATTATGTCACAAGAAGTCTCTTACACAGCTTAACAACATTTAAGAAGGGTTAAATCTCCAAAAATTTGCGCAAATTGTTTAAAATATGTTTTTAAACATATTCGTGGTTTTATATAGTAAAAATCACATATCTTGACTATCAAGTAAAAATTTTTTCTCTAATACTAGTTTTTGGAGAAACTTTTGTCAAGCTTTGTTGGGCTGCTTAAGGGGCTTCTAATGGTATAATTTTCTTATCAATTAACAAAGTATTTTCAGCGTAATTTTTGATTAATTGAAAAAAGCCAAAATTACTCATTTTTGGGGTAAAGTTTTGGTTGAGAATTTGAGAATTGTTTTTGGCCGAATTTTCTGTGCGCCGACAAGAAGAAAAGACATACAATTAGAAGAAAATAGTTAGACGAATAATGAATCACTCACTATTTATCACCTCAGTTGCTTTTATTTTGTTGGATTTGAGGGCAAGCAAGTGGTGAAACAATTAATCGTTTCCCGCTAAAAATGTGTTCAGTTCTTTTTTCGAGACCACGAGAACTCTTTCTATTTTACATGGGGGAAGTACAACAGTGCCGAAAAAAATAGTTCAACAGTGCCAAAAACGAAAAATTAGTTCAACAGTGCCGAAAATTTTTTTTGTTCAACAGTGCCGAAAATGAAAAAACACTTCGGAAAGCTTGAATTATTGCTTATAACATAGAATACACAAAATAGAATACACACCAAGAGTTTTCAATGTTTCGATTTCTCTATGATTAAGATCACTTCAATGCCGCTATTTGCTCCCTTTTTCTTCTGTCTTTTTTTCTTAGCTTTCCGTGGAATATCTCCATTATGAAAAGATTTCAAGGCAAGTTTCGACATTTTTTCTTCTCGCTTTAGTTTTGGGATCAAAACGCAAAAATTTGGATGGAATCGTTCAATTTTTTTTCAGATTTTGTGCCAAATTTCACAACTGTTTGTGGTGGTGAGTGAAGCTGGTCTTTCATACAATTTCCACATTTATAATGGATATTGTTCATTGAGCCAAGGTTTTTCGAAATACTCAAACATTTTTGAAATTCTGTCGTAAATTCCGATCAAAATAAGTTTTTTCCGATCATCGTGATTCGCGTGTAGTTTGTTCTGACCAATCCGATAGGCAAATAAGGCAATGTAAACGTAAACAATCGTTCAATTATTTAGCGAATTTTTTGGTTTTGCGGATACTTGCTAGAAGAAATTTTTGGACTTGTTTTGAAAACAACCTGACAGTAATGGAAATGACAGAACAAATGCTGAGCTTCCAGTAAAAAAACACTTGCTAAGAATTTGTTAGATTCTTTGGACTTGTTTGAAAGGAATGCAAAAAGCAAAGGAATTTTTTTATTTTCAAAGAATCCAAAAAACGTATAAATCTGAGTAAATGGCTCTGGCGCTGTTTTGAAAGCTCCATCGGCTAACACTGTATCGCAATCCGCAAGATTTTCAATAAAAAAAATCTGGTTGTCATGACAACTGCCCCAAAGTGTACGTTTTTTTTTCGAGAAGAAACTGCTTTCCGGATAAGGTTCTGCCCCACGAATTGGAAAAAATTATATCTGACACTGTTTGCGATATCCCAAATAGCTGTTTTCGGCGATGAAAGTATAAAGGATTTCGAATATTCCGAAAATTTGGTACAAGATTTTCGCCGTTTTCAGGAACTTTTTCGACCACATCTTCATAAATTGACTTATTTTCTGAGGGCAATGAGAAAATAAACGGCGATCAATTACAATCTCAAGTGAAAACAGAGAGAAAACAAGCCACTTAAACGTTTTGCCGCCAAAATAATTGTTTAATTTGCAGTTGCAGACATTTTGGCGCCAAAACTGGAGTGATTTTCTTTGTTACTTGACGTCAGTAATTTCCCGCTCTTTAGAAAATGCGTTTAAAATCTTCTGAAATTTTCGCCTTTTTCGGCTCTGTTGAACGCCCCCTTTTTCTCTATTGAGGCCTTTGCAGTTTGCAGATCAAACAGAAAATTTTGAAACCTGATTGGTTGATAATTGCTACGTTTTTAAGGGGGCGTTCAACAGTGCTGAAGTACAACCGGGCCGAAAATGAAAAAGTTTTCAACAGTGCCGAAAATTGATGATTTTCGGCACTGTTGAACAATAATTTTATTTTTCGCACACTTGTACTTCGGCGCTGTTGAACGCCCCTCTAAGAGCAGCACAAAAGTGCCGAAAATAAATTTAATGTTCAACAGTTCCGAAAATCATCAATTTTTGGCACTGTTGAACTTATTTTCATTTTCGTCACTGTTGTACTGCCCGGTTCTTAGAGGTTACGTAGCAGTATTTAGACAAAGTCGTATTCAGACACTATTAACCAATCAGAATCGAGACAAGGAAGAAATGAATGATTAATTATTATTTATTTTGAAAGTTTGCTTTCTCATCTCGATTCTGATTGGTTAATACATTGTCTGAATACGCGGTTGTCTAAATACAGACTGCACTCCGTTTTAAGTTCAAGTTAGTTGGATTGATATCGTACTATGGTGAAAGTTGACTCGGAGATTGAATCCTGATAACCAAGAAGCGATTGTTTCTTAGTAGCATGAACAAATGCATCTTGTGTTTCAGGCGCTACAAGGATTACCCCTGTTCTGGAATAGACAAAGTGAAGTTGCTCATCAAACATTGCTTCCACTCTCTCCAGATCCCCCCTGACTTCCACTGGTACCCAGACACGACAACAACGACAAACAGACGGGGGTCTGGATCAATGCCTGTACATAGCTCAAGAGGAGGAGGAGATGCTAGCAATAATAGTGGACACAGTAAAACTACAGCAGGGTTTAACAGCGACAGGGTTCCACTAGAACAAGTGGAGCGTATAGGCGGTGGTAGTGGGGTTGTTGGCAATAGCAGTCTTAAAGGCCAGCAGAACAGAGATCCGTTTGCAAGTGGAGTTCAGATTCGGAGTAACAAATACCTGGTCCGTTGTTGTCCCAGTTTTTGATAAAGGATTCGCCTCTGCAATCTTATTTTGAAAGAATTTTCACGTATATTATTCTAATGTAGTTATCGGAGATCAATTGCGATTTTTCAAAAACCATATCGTTTTCGTTCGCTAAAAAGGTCCTTTTCAGATTCCCATCCTCTTCGAAAATAACGGTAAAATGTTTTCAAAATGTTATTTGGGCAACCTGTAGGTAACAAACTTAGCTTAAACTGATTCTTTTTGCGTTGACGTTTTACAACGAAGAGTTTCATTAATTTAATTTTTGGTTCAAAACTAAGAAAAAGCTGCATGTCAAACTGCCATTTGAATTTCATAAAAACTGCTAGTTCTTTACTTTTGTTTCTTTAATGGTTTCCTCTATGGTTTGTTTCAGGAATCTGATAGTAAGCAGAAAGTCCTCAATCTACGCGCATCGTCTGAAAGACAAATTCTGTCTCCATCCAATGACCTGCTGCTAGAAACATCACTGAAACTACAGTTGCAGGATCAGCAGAACTCACACAGTCAACAGCTACGCTCGTCCAACCCCTTGAATAACAATTTGAATGCGAGTCCCATTCTGAACTACAAAACAGCTGCTAAAGACAGAAGCAGAGGAGCTAAAAGTCGAATTCCGAAGCTAAATTATAGGCAGTCAAACTTCCCGCTCTTTTCCAGACAGGGACCTAGAGAAGTCAACTCGGCCGCATCAGTGTCTAGATTACCTGTTCCAAAACAAACAAATGCATCAGATAGAAAATCGAAACAGAATGGCAAAGTTTCTTCCTTCTCGAAGCAAAGGAACTCTGAAAAAATGAAGTCAAATATAGACTCCGATGATTATGATTCCGATTTCTTTTCCATGTAAATATACTAGAACTGCCACTGCCAGTTTTCTGGTACATGCTTTATCGAATTTGCAAATTCAACAAGTCTTATTTTTATGCCAGGAAATTATTAAGAGTCAATGAACGTAGTTCATATTCTAATTTAGGTCGCGATTATTTTTTCTTTTTTTAACAGGAAAAGTCGTATAATTTGTTTACACTAAACTTTGATTTTCCGCGGTTTGACGTTTGATTTCTTTTTAAGTTGACTTCTTTTCCTTTATTAAAAGGAAGGCAAACGCCTTTATCGAACTGTCTATGTTTAATGGTCTCGAAAAACGTGATTGACTTCTAATTTCGGAACGGAGTTAATTAATCAGACTTTCCATCGGAATTAAAAATTTACTCAATGATCCAGTTTACTTATTTTGGGCTCATTTTATCAGAAATTTTGTTCAACATAGGTATTTACACTTGCGAAGCAAAGTGTATTAGTACGAATTTTACTTTTTTTCGCAACCCAAGTCGCAAATATTGCTGCCATTTTTGGGGCACCGTTACAGCTATTTGATAGCATGTCTTTGACATTTGATTAGTAAAAAGTTTACACAGCTGATGCATTTTTAATTCATCAAATGAACCGAAAAATTAATTTGTTTCAAACAGCAGTACAATGATAAAAAGCTCGATTTCAGAAATTTTCCAACTCAAATTATACACATAATTTGGCTGTAAGCTTTCCAATTTATTACATGCAAGTTTGTCTTTTTGTATTTAGTGCTACTTTTACTGCATCGAGTTGGCAATTTATTAGAATATGTAGCTGCGTTATTGAGGGTAAGTTTTTGGGCATTTGAAGCATCCGTAGCTGCGTAGTTTATGCGTGAGACTTAAATTTGCTAGGTCGAATCTGCGTTTTTGCTAATTTGAGGCTTATTTCGACTTTTTCTTATTTCACTTGATAAAGGTTTATTTTGGGCGTGCACTGCTGTTTGGTCGTGTTCTCGGAAGTGTTTGCGGAGCGGAGCTTCGCCTCTGTGTACATTAATTTGAATGGTTTTGTAATTTGGTGCGCCTGCGATTAGCAAGCGTTATCAAATCGGAATATAGACTTTTTCCGGGTAAACAACTAGTTTCGGTTTAACAACTATAAACAGCAACAAACTGAATCTCAGATATACAACTGCACGTATTTCTTACATTGCACGTATGACACTAACGGCATGTATTTTTTTACTTTATACAAGCTAACACGCTCAAGTTCAATTAATTTTTCAAATATTTTTATTGAAGTGTTGATTTTTTTGGGGGAGGGTTCTCATGCTTGAAGGACCGAATGCTTGAAAAATTTCAACCAATCAAAATCGCTAAGCGTTTCTATTGGCTAAATGCCTTTCGCACAATATCGAAGTCAAAATTAACAGAAAATGTATCAAATCAGTGGAAAATAATCAAAAATATTACAAATTGCGGGTTACAACCGCATTACTATTCAGATAAATCATCAAGATTAATGAGTTCAAAATCACAAGAATTTTTTAGTCTTGAAATTCATCTGCTTATTATCTAATCGGTCAATATTAACACTAATGGCCTGGATTTATTTTCTTACTTTGAGATTTTCGCGATTTATTTTCAGATTTTGAATACTCAACTCTGATTGGCTGAAAGCAAGCTAAAATTAATTTCAAGCATTCGGTCCTTCAAGCATAAAGGACGCCACCATTTTTTTGGGATTTGTTTATTTCGTCCTAATTTCGGTCGGCTACTTTTCCGTTGTTTTTCTGAGCGCTTTTTTTTTGTTTTGTGGTACGCTTTACATCCAATTTTTATTCATTGCTTGGGTTTTTGTTTCAATCCAATTTTTTTTTAATTGAAAGTTGTTCTGTACTCAATAAAATTACCAGCTGTTTGAAAATAATTTTTGAACGGGTTCAGTTGATTTTATATCGCATAGTCAACTTATATTGCGTTAGATTCAAGGTGGATTTTCTAATGCTCTTGCGTGTTTCAGGAGGGCTGAAAAAAATTTCCAGAGTTGCTATTTGATAAATCTCGATGTTCGCCCAATTTTTTTCACCAAAGTTGCCAGCCGGTTATTTCTCATTGTTTCTTAGTTTCTCATTGATTGTTAGGGCTTATGAACATTATCCGAGATAAAGGTAAAAACTTTTTTAAGATAGTCTTGGTTGTTTTTTTTCTACTTAATAGGTTTTTCAGAATGAAATTGATCTCCTTCTCAATATCGGCTACGATTTCTTTCTTTAAATTATCGACCAAGGTACTATGCTTGAATCCTTGAATCCGCTTGGATTAGAAAGTGTCTTGTAATAGGGAACATGGTTTTTTCGTAATTTTTTTTCTTACATATTTGTAATTGAAATTAAAGGTGCTTATTGTCTTTATCATCAAAACTTTTTAACTTCCAGGCACCATCGCACATGGTCTGGATGCAATTGGCTTCGAAACCTAATGTCAGGGATTTAAGTTTCGGCCTCACATTTTTCTCAGTCACTGAAATTGATTTTTTTTTTGGGAAATATTGATTAGTCGGGTTATTGTTCGTCGGCTTATCTTTTGGCGGCTCTTGTTGTTTTGTTTTCTATGACTTCGGCTCTTATTGTTTTTTGGCTTAGTGAATCAATCAGGTGACTTGATAGTATAAAAGTTGGTCTGGATGCAAGTCATTTTTCATTCATGCCTTGTCGTGAAAGATCATGTTTGAAAGAGCTAAAACATACTATTCTTAAGTTCAGTTCGTTCCACTTTTTTTAAGACGAACTTCGCTAAAATGCTTTTTAGGTTGTTTTTGAAAGTTTTTTTTGAAACAGATTTAAAAAGTTTCAACTTTTCTCAAGTGTTGAAAAGTTCCGCTATGTTTCCGTGTTACACATGCGAATGTAGTGTTCTATTGTGAATTTTTTCCAGCCAAAACAACGCTTTCACTGGTAATCTGTTTTATATTGCCCAGTGTTTGTCGGAGTTCAAGCGACCATTCCGCAGATCCGAGGGTATGTGGGTCCTTTTTTCGAGGTTGATTCCGGTGCTGTAGTGGTTTTTTTCCAAGTCGTATCGAATCGTTTTTCCTTATTTCCTTTTTCTACCTTTCAGGAGCTTCTTTTTGCTGTTTTCTTGCCTTTGTTTGCGACGTTCAACTTCACTTTTTTTGCACAAGATGTGTGATTTACTTCACTCTGCGTGGTGATTCTAACTTCCTTCTGGGGGTAATTGACCCATATTTAGAAGATTTTCGGTTCCTACCAATGTCTGACTTTGTCTTTGAAGCTTTTTTCCTTCTTGACGTATACAATGCCCCTGGGGTGGGTATTATGATTTAGCTCGTTTCTTTAACATTTTTTCCGGAAAAAAAATCTTTTAAAAAGTGTCGCTCGTTCTTGAAAATCTGTGGTTAGATTTCCGATTTTTTAAATTTCACACCAATTTCACTTGCGTAAACAAGGACAAGTTGGTCATGTAAATGGTTGAAAAACCATATGATGTTAATTGAACGACTTTCCTGCTGAGAATAGTTTTACCTATTACCCAAAAACTATACAAAAAAATCGAAAATAATTTGTCTACTGACGATATAAAATTTCACTCAATGTGAAATTTGTTGTTAAAACTACGAAAAATTAAGAGAGAAAACAACAACCTTCCTTTTTCTGTAGAATCAAATTTGTTATTGTCTTCTCTTATTGTCTGTAAGTACCGAGTAAGACCAATTATCTCACTTGTCGGTTTCGATAATTTTTTTAATATAAAGGAACCAGTTCCAAACCAGTATTTATCAATCAATTATGTTATTGATGAATTATCACTATAAAATATTTCTAACTATCCAATCATATCGATTCCATCTCTAACATTGACACCTATTTGTAAGCGCTGAAACTACTTGTAGTTTGTTTGAGCACCAGAACAATTTGAATAAAACTTTGACTACAGTTGTTCTCCTTCTGGATAAACTCCAAGAACGAACTCGCATAAACCAGTATACACTAGATCTATTGAGACTAGGAGATATACGAGTAAGATTAAGATCGGTATTAGACTAAGAAGTTGCACGAATCTGTCCGGCCGAAAATAAGACAGCGTGAAGAGCAGACGGTGTACCTTATCAGAAATTACTCTATGAGTATAACCAATACGTTATAACTCATCTGGTGCGACCGAAAGTCTCGAAAAAGACCTTAACTAACTTAGATTTAGACAATAGAACTTAGAACTGGATAATTGCAAAAATGTTAGACGGAATAGGTATTTTAATAGAAATGTCTCTACGTCTCAATAAATTTACGCAAAAATTCAAAAAATACAAAAAATATCAGGTATTGAAAGAAGACCAAGATCGTGGCGTGAAAAAAGATCAGGAAACGGACCACTCTGCTACATGATAGTACGACGGAAACCTGAACAATCTTTTGTATTTAGAGTACTTTATGCAGTAAATATAAATTTTCATTTACTGACCTGAAAATATTTTGAAGAAAAATTTTTCAACAACCTTACTGGTGCTAAACCTACAATATGTACAATAACGACTGATAAAAAGAGCACAATTCGTTTCCCCACATTTTGCAGTAAATCTAACTTTTGAATAAATAATTAATTGAAAAAAAATTACAAAAGTTAGTAAGTTGTAAAAATCATTGTTAGTTTCATAAATTAACATGTCTGATTTTCCTCTTATCAGCTTCATCGCTTGAAACATAACAGCAAAAATTCAAAAAATTAATTTCATCAAAACTTTGACTTCTAAATTTTCCTAAACTCAAAACTTTTAAATTAAAATGTATCAAGGCTTATCCTTGCTTTCTATATTTCACTTTTCTTTCATAAACAGATCATCAAGGCTTTCCTTGGATCTTTCAAATCAATTAAACCTAAATTTGATTTATTTTATAACTGATCGTCAAGGCTTTCCTTGGATCAAATCAGAACAGTATTGTTCTCCCTTCCGATAACTTTAAAAGTGTCTAACGACCTCAAACGTCCATTCACTAACCAACTCTTATAATCTACCCAGAAATAATGAAATTTTTGAAAAACTAACCATTTTAATTAAGCCAAACAGTGAAGAACTTCGGTTACTCATCCTTTACTT